TAGCTTTAATAACATTGATTCATTTTATAACTGAATTTAGTACTTAATTTAGAACAGGCAAAATGTTTTTAGCTACCAGGTTTTCCCTATGAATAACATAACGCGCAAGAAGCATTTCTGGATTCTCATCTTTAATTAATTTTAAGCAACTCTTTCTTCCCCATCATATCTGCAGCACAAAGTATTAAATTTTTGACATCTAAATAATTTTTTAGCTTACTATAAATGTCTTTGGAGGTAGTGGTGCTCTCTAATAATTTACAGAACAACATTTCTTCGGCAAAATTACCTTCACCAATATATCTTATGTAAATTATAAGTATGGTTTCACTGTCTCCCGAAGTTGATTCATCCATTTGCACTGAAAATTTTCTTGTTTTTAAGCTTTTCAATAATTTGTACTTCAATATCCTCACTCTTTTCACATATTTTTCTGCTAACAGTATTGTTACTTAGTGGCATAGCTTTAAAGTCTTTGTCACCTTTTTTCTGGAACCGTTTTAAGAAATGCTGATATTCAAGGCTTGATCCAATTCTCCCCTATAGTATGACCCAGATTTAACAATGAGTAATGAAATTTGATAACTAGCCTCCAAGAATATGATAACAGTTGCATTATGAGCAGTAAATAGAGACTTTAAGGTTGCTCTTTTCTCAAAATTTTTCTTTAAAAGATTGAAAATTAGTCAAATCTGAATTAATATGAGCGTTGTGTTTTGCCTCAAGACGACCTTGTTTCATTGATTCTTTGGTCAGGCATTACTGGCATAAAAGATCAAAAGGTGACTGTTCATCGTGCATAAAGGGTATGAAACTACATTTTAAATATTCCTCAGAATACAGACGAACTTCTTTCTTGCTTTCACCACTCATTTCATTAAGGGCTGAAATAAATAAATATAAGATGAATTAAAAATTTCATCATACTGCTAAGTTAAAAGCAGCTGCTGTTGTATTCAGTGGAAGAATAATACACCTGTTGCCATTCCTACAGTAAAAAATAAAATTAGTTCATTGGCTGACATGTGCAAAAAACATCTGGGAAGCATAATGTAAATGCCCTTTAAAAGCATTTAAGTGTCCATGTCTACTGCAAAAATTCTTTATGAAATACATCTATTCCTCGATTTACACCCTACTTGTTTTACACGTTTTCGGTTTTACATGGTTTAAAAATTAACGGATTTCAAAAACTTGGTAAAAATGTATATTCAGCTGCATATATGCAAATACATATATTTGAAGTCACTTTTTAATCTCATGGCTTTGGTAACACTGGTGGCAATAACAAGGATGGGGATTTACCGTGTTGTAAATGTATATCTATTTTACAATAGTAAGGCTATTTGGTTCATGTGAAATAGCACAGTATCAGTATTTTAGCAGGAAAGCTTAGATCATTTTTATCTAAATAACTGAATATTTATTGGTAAGTTTTGAACATTTATATTTTTTGTGGCATTTTTTTATAATTTACATAAATTTTTTAAGGCTTTTTAATGCTAAAAGATTTAAAAAAAAAAATAAAAAGGCATTAGATATGGATAGATGACCAAAATCAAAAACGGATTCCAAAAAAGTTATCTTTTTCCACAAGTCATGGTTGTTTGAGAGATTTAAACAGACATTCTTTACTTAATCTAAGATTAAAAGGAAAAATTGCATCTGCTGATTCGGATCCAGCACAATATCCAGCAAACTTTGCTGAAATCATTGCCGCCAACTCCTACACTTCTGATCAGATCTTCAATGCTGACGAGTTCGGGTTGTTCTGGACAAAATTGCTGTAAAGAATCTATTTAGCTAAAGCTTGCAAATCAGCTCGTCACAAAGTAGCAAAAAGTTGTATAACAATTCTTTTCTGTTGCAATGCTTCAGCCGATTACATAATGAAACTACTGATTATTAGCATATCAGAAACACCATGCAGATTTAAAAGTTGGTTTGGTTTATTTAATTATGACAAAGCACACTAGGGCTATCTGCCTAAGGGGAGGGATGCCTTCATGGAGGACTTTCTAAGGAAAACTGGCTTGTATATAGGTTACACATGAGGAAAAACCACGAAAACGCCCATGCAGCCAGCCCGTTTACGGGGATTCGAAGCTCGGACCGAACTACCAGGTGTTCAGCGACTTTACCCCTCGGCCGCTGGTGAGTGCAGATTTAAAGGAATAAGCATAAATAACCTTCCCATTTATTAGATGGCTAATAAGAAAGCATATATCCCTGCCATAGCTATCAATGAATGGTCTCATAACATGTTTGTCCCAGATGTAAAAAATTATTTAAGTAAAAAGGGATTACCTTTTAAAGCTCTATTAATTGATAATGCATTCTCAAGATTTACAACATGAAAATGTAGAAGTCTTTTTACCAAAGAATACAACTTCCTTATTACAGCCATTAGATCAAATAATAATTTCGACTTTTAAGGCATTGTATATTTATTAATCAAATCTTCAGCTATATTTTAGAACAAATGGAGAATAATGAATCTCTTACTCTTATGGATGCTTGGAAGAAATTTAAAATCTGAGATTATGTTAAGCATATTGGACTGTCATATACTTAGATTAAAGAAACAACATTCAACACATGCTGGAAAGCAATATGGCTGGATGATGCTAAGGTTGGAATGACAGATTACCATTAGAGTATTAGTTCTCAGATCACTAAATTGGCCTAAACTATAGGAGGAGAAGGTTTTGAGGATATAGCTCAGGCAGATATTGAGGAAATAATGGCCGATGAAGAACTAAATGAGGATGAGTTAGTTAACATGATTCATGAAACAAATAAACATGATGAAGAGCAATCTGAACCAGTTGTATTCACAGCAAAAGTCATCAGCATAGGGCTTGAATTTGGAAGAAAATTAGGTAATTATTTTTTACAATATGACACGAATGTTGAATGAGCTCTCCGATTCCAAAGGGAGCTTAGCAAGTGCTTAAATCAATATGAGGAGGTTTACAAATACTTAGGAAAAAAAACCTAGGCAATTGTTAATTACGAATTTCACTACAAAGTCTTGTTGATCTGAGATCTTCCCTAATTTGTCAACCATTGAAACAGAATCTTATCAAGAATGTTCAAGTAATGAAAGTGATATTATACCCATCAAGAAGAGAAGACTAATAGTTTATGTAAGTGATGACAATGATTAACTTATAATAATTTTTTTGAATGCTCTCATATTTTCCTAGTGTAAAATAAATATATATTTCTATTAACAACATATATTTGTTATTTTGTAACTTTATTTATTTTAAGATGTCTTACTTTTGTTTTATGAAAATAAATAATTAAATTACACATATTTAGTGTGTTTTTCATTTTACATGGTTTTACATAGCAAAATCCAAGATTTCAATTTACACGGTTTTGTGCAAAACCTATCTTTGATGTAAATCGAAAGTTAGGTATATTTAAAAACTTTCTTTTTACTTATACATCACATTATTCTTTATTTCTGGAAATAAAAAATTAAATTTCGATTTCTTGAAGAAAATTTTGAAATTTGAATGTTCCTTGTCCCCTTTAACTCTGGGCAAGTCCATTTTCAAACTGCCCCACCAATGGCGTGGGCCCCACATTGGGAAACACTGATTTACATACTTATTTAAATATCAGTCTGAACTATTTATAGACTCATTCAAACTTAACCACACTTATCTGCCAGAACTAACAAGCATACAAGCCCTTGTGTGCTTTGCCATATTTAAGTTACCAATGTGGAAACATGTAAATATTTTACTGATATCAGGAACGAGTTTAAGAAAAATGATGTTTTTAATATATATGATATTTTAAATTATTTTGAAAGACTGAAAAATTTTGCCAGGAAAATGATGGAGAAGATTAACCATAATAAGCTTGCTGTAGGGATTTTAATCTTTTGTTTTTTAGTTATGTTCTTTATGTCTGTTGAAGGTGCTATTTCTAGCTTGCTCTGGCGCAGGGTGCAAAAAGGCCATAGGACGACGTAAGTCTGCCAGGAGGATCGGGCTGCGTCCCTCATATCATATCATTCAAGTAACCAACCAAACCAAGCAGCAAGCACAGAACGAGATGATCAGTAGATTTCAGCAAGAACACAGATATTCATATTTAATCAAATCAAGGCATTCAAGTGACACTGGGATTAAAAGTTGTCTTTTAAAGGACACTCTTAATAAATGCAAAAGATAAAATTAAATGTAACTTTTTTCCATTACAAAAAAAGCCAGTTTATTGATTGATTGATTTAAAAATGAAATATAAATTTCCACTTTCATTCCCTCACAAGCAATTATTCTTTTTGATCCAAAAAAGTCATTTTTAACCATGAATTATTTAAGAAACCGTTTTACTTCTGAAAATATATAAAAAAACATACAACATATTTTCACCCAAAAAAATTTTTTTAGACAGAGAAAATCATACAAAAGATTCATAAATGAAACTCTGGGATAAAACACATAAATGTGGAAGAAGATTAATTTGGCAAGCATTTTTGGCTTTGGCAAAAAATGCAAAGATAGAATTAAAAAGTCTCAGTACTCAAAACATTTGACAATAGTTATTAATGCTTTTCAAATTATAAACACTTGTTAGAGCTAAACAGTGTTTTTTCTGTAATCACTACATTAAAATTCCAAAACATTATATTAAAATTCATTAAAAACAATTTTCTTTTTTAACAGGTTGGAAGAGAATTTTAAATTGGCACAGTTTAACATAAAGCATCTAGTAGAAGTAATTCTCTTGCACTGAAATATATGGAGGAATGCCTGCAATGCTGTTAATAATATTTTGAACATTTTCTTAATCCTTATCTTAAAAAGAAATGAGGGAAGAGAGAAATCAACTATTCTTTCATGAAATAGCTTTCTTGTTGGGTATGACTATACATCAATGGAATATTTTATTGTGCGTATTGTTAATGTTCTGATAAAGCTTAAGTGACCGTATGCACAACAAAATGAAAACTTATTTCAACAAATTATAAACACATGGCAAGAAAACAGCATATAATTCATAAAAGACTATTTTAAAAGTTACACTGAGATTAAAATCAATAGCAAGTAACTGGACATGTTAAGCTCTTTCAATAAGTGCAAAAAATTCATCGCCTTAAAAATACACAGGTTTATACAAAAAGTTGGATTCTGCTTCCATTACTACAAAATTCAGCTATGAAAATAAATATAATGAAATTATGCTCAGCTAATGATTCTTCTAACTATTTTTCAAATATAGCAATAAACATTGAATTTCCTGATTGCACTTTGCAAAATTTAGTATAAAGGATGACAACTGCACTTAAAAAACTGTTTCAGCATTATAATAATCAGTCCTCAAAACATATTTTGAAAAACTAATATGATAAAAAATCACACGATTCATGATAATAATATAGTGGTTAAATATAATATATAAACTTAACACATCCAAGAATTTTATACTTATAATTATTTTAGAAATATCTACAATACATTTGTCTCGGATAAATGACATCCATCACAAATAACCATACAAATTAGACAAATATTTAGGATAAATGTTTTTTGACAACAAAAAAGATATCAATATTATCTATCTGACTTAGTGGCCATTTCCAAAATGCTGTAATTTATTGTATGAGACACATACAACTTAGACTGCAACATACACATCTCTGAGTTAGAGGCTTAGGTGGTATCAGATCAAGATCTTCATCATCAGGAGTCAGATCTAAATTATATCCATCCTTTATCAACTGTTCTGTAATTTCCTTAGTAGCTGACTTTGATATTGGATGATAATCTATTTCCTCATCACTGAAAATAAAATTATATTGTAAACATTATTTGAAAAATGATCAAAGTATTGAGAAAATTAATAACTATTAAATGATATAATAAATTTTTAAGAAGATTTGGTTAAATTAAAAGCATAATGAAGATGAAGATAATAAAATATTCTAATTAAATCAAATGCAAACATTAAAAAACTATTCAAATTTATAAAAAATCTAATGTTATAAATTAATGAAAATGTTAGTTCATAAGTATGTAAGTTTTTAGAAAGTAATATGAAAATAAACTAAAATTACTTAATAATATGAAGATGAACAATGAACTTAAATAATATGAAGGAAACATAAGGTATTATTATCATGAAGTCTGTCTTAATTTTAGTCATAAAATATACTAATGCCCACCAAATCTTGACCCCCAACAATTTTTATAGCTCTCAGTTGAGCTCTGTGTGCAACAGGTAGGCACTTTACATTAGTATTTTTACATTAAAGCACATTGGCATCATATATTCATTAATGAGAAGTAGTTTTAACTCATCAGTAATAATCATAATTATATCTAACATAATTATTTTGTCTTCACATTTTTCATTCTCATAGCATTTTTCAAAGCACAAAGTAATATTGTTTCCAGTATAGATGAGCAGTTCATATAAATTAAGCATTTGAAAGTTTATACCAATGTAAAACAATTTTCAGAACAATCATTAATTCATTTGTTCTTTCAAATGCCTTTTCCTTCAATATATTTCCAAATACAGATAATTTTTAACTCTGGCATGCTGAGACATTTAAAGAAACAATTTCATTTTTTTGAAAGTTTAACTTCTGATATTTTTCTCTGCTCTCTAACATTTGTATATAAACAATAGTTGAACTTCTGGTTTGGTGTGAGAATATTATTCAAAGATGTTCTCGGGATATTATACTTCTTGCCAAATATTCTTATGGACATTCCCACACTAGTCATATTTTAACTTTCATTTAACATCCATGAATACATTACTGCTATTGTTTTCATGGAGATTCAAAGTATATATTATTTGCCATAGTTATTTCACAAAATTGGCAGGAAAGAACTGTTGCTATAGATTTTGGGATTATTCTTTGAGAAAGAGGAGAAATGAAACTGAATATTGACTGAAACACTCATGTACCCATTTCTAGAATAATGAATAAAAATAACTCCATTTCAGTAAGTGCTTCCTTCTCTAAATAACAGCATGCTAAACCAGTCAGAGAAAAATTATTAATAATTTCTTCAACTTGCGAGTCAAGCAATGAAGTTACAAAAGAAGCAGCAATGGAGCTTGTGCGAGTGCCAATATTTCCATCTCGGCACTAGTTTTTTTTTTTTTTTTTTCTTTTTTTAAAGAAGTGGGTAATTCCCTTTCCTTTCTTCTTCATTTATAGAGGTTAACTTACTTGACAAATTTCTAAAGGAGGCAGAAATGTAGAACAGTCTAAAGAAATATTTAAGATAATAAAAAACCTTCTGCTGGAAAAAAATTTTTGTTCACATCCCTAATGAACATGACTTGAGAACAAAAATCAACATTTCAAAAGTGATTTAAATATCAGTTCCCATTGTATAAAAAAAAAAAAAAAAAAAAAAAAACTGGAATTGGTCAGGACCATACAAGTCTGATTAGCATTAAACAGAATAACTTTTGAAACCTCCGGGTAATCTACAAACAGCATTTGATTGTATTTCATTACTAAAGATGGACAAATATTTCATTTGTAGTCCTTTAAGAAATGATTAATTGATACATTTATTTTCATAAAACAATTCAGTAATGAAAAATTTCTACAATTCTGGTCTTGACTCTACTGAAGAAACAATTTTTACAAATGGCTCTTAATAAATGCATTTATTTTTGTAAAATAATTCAGTAATGAAAAATTTCTATAATTCCAGTCTTGATTGTATTGAAGAAGCAATTTTTATAAATCATCTTGTCAACTGCAACTGTGTACTACATTTCCAAGCACACTATAAAACACTTTATGATGGAAATAATGTAAAAAATTTTAGATCAAGCAGCCCAATGGAAATATTAACTAGTGCAAATAAAAAAAAAAACTTTATATTAACAGAAAATTAACATAAAAGCTATTTAAAACTTTTAATAAAATTAGACTAATTTTTTTTTCATAAAATAATTTTCATGAATAAGAACAGCAATTATTATTATTTTACCTGTCGCTTTCCCAGGATACTAAGGGATGAGAATCTGTCTTTGTAACAACGGGATTTAAACTTTTTGGAACTTTTAACCTAAATAATAATAATAATAAATTACATTTGCACACAAATTCCTATGAATTGATCCCAACAGTTGCATAGCATTGAGTTATGGGACAAGGAAGACTGGTTTGTGCCCAACAAAAAAGACCCTCATTATGAAACAGAGTACAGTAAAGAAAGACTAGAATATATGTACGTTGCACTGTTCAGTTTCCATCAGTCCAGAATCACTAGAGTCTAATTTTAAAATTTCAAAACAAACTAAACTGAGTAAAATAAAAATAAAATTTGAAAACTTAGTACTTAAAATTACTCTTAATACATAAATGATTGTTTTCTCCCCTTTACACAAGTCTATTTTTGCATAGTTTATTTTTGTACAGTTTTAAAGCTATTTAATACAATATATATATTTCAATCTTTTACTGCACTTTTCTCAAGCAATAAAAGTTACAAGAGAAACTGCACCTACTTTAACAAAATTTTGATTGAGCTATAATATTAGAAACATTATCAAAAAGACAAAGTATGGCATTTTTTAAACAAAAAAAAAAAAAAAAAAAAAAAAACATACGCAGTTAGAACTAAACAGCTGTAGAATTGTTATTTAAAACATATTTAAAAAAATTCTGAACAACTACATTATAATTGTAGAAATTTTATTTAAAACAATACAGAACAGCTAAATTAAAAGAAAAAAACTATAAATAGCTTAAAATAGTTAACTTTATATTGAAACATTTTGCTCAATGAAATAAGAATTATATAGTCACTGAAATAGAAATACAAGAATTAAAAGCATTGTAGATCACATGATCAAATTACTACTAAAAGCAGGCACAACAACTCAAAAAGAAAGGAGGGGGTACAGTTATATATCTCCTGTTCTACTGGGCCAATTGATGAAATTCAACATGCATTTTCAATGCCTCAAAAGTGTGGTTTAAGATACCTACCTTAGATTTATTTACATCATTGTTTTAACATGGCTATTTTGACACAAAATTGGACTTTCTTCTGAAATGATTTACTAATTTTTTTCCATATTTCAATCTTACTTCTCAAATTATGAGAAAGCCCAAAATTTGTAAAAATTGCACAAGCAATTTATCTTTTTTTGTTATTACATTCACTTGATTCCTTGTTTCACAATTCGAATTTTCGTTTCAATTCAAATGAAATTTGCACTCTTCTTTTTATTCATTTTTAAAATTGGTATTTGTTAGTAATTTTTATTAACTCGGCAGCATGCGCGTCCTAATAGTAACGCGAGAATGCGCATTGGGTCGAATAGGCCAGTGAGCAGTTTTCTTTAATTCATGCGACTTATTATTGAACCAGTAATATATATTTTATACCACTATTCATAAAAATCAAAAGAAGTTATATACTAATTGAAAACTATGAATTAATATCTAGAAAAATCTTGTTAAATCTATACATCCCCTATAATGTTGAATAAGATAACAGAATAAAGTAAGATAATTGAATTATTGAATAAGATAACAGAATAAAGTAAGATAATTGAATTATTGAAAAAGGTAACTAAATTAATGAATTTAAACTTTTAATACTGAAACAATACTTACATATGAAGCTACAAACTTGATGCTGGTATATATTTATTGACACATTTTACACACTATGGAGCTATGCTCACCATAAAAGTTTTTTCATGTTGTGTGCATGATGTTTTCGATTTTCTGCCCTTCTCAGCCGGACATAAATGGCATCTTTTCTTTGCAGCAGCTTTTAATTTTTTACAAGGAAGGTCCTTGACTTGTTCAGGCTGTGTTTTGTTTAATTCCATTCACAAACTCCTGGAAATATTAGGTTAGATTCTTCTGTTTTCGTTGTGCTCCTTTATAAGTTCTAACGCAAGATCCTTCAAAAAGAACCTTCTCTTATGGTATTTTCTTCAGGTTTATCGGTTGACAATAACAGGACGCGAGCACTGCAGCTGTATTTAAAATACTAAAAAGAATAACAGCTGTATTTAACATACTAAAAAATAAGACCATCGACCATCTGTTGCTAATTCTAGCTGTAGAATATAATGCCGACATTTATTCTACTACATCCACTGCACCTATCATCAGGTTATAAAAAGTAATAATTTCAGGTTTTTTGGTATCAGCAGATGAAGGGATCTATAGCATCATCATTAAGCATGGTTGATAATAAAAGGACACATTTATTCTTCTTGGGAGTATATGACACTAAAGTCATATATTTCTGAAATTCGAAGAGCATCGAATACAATTCTCGTTTTCTGGAATAAGTGAATTCCTTCGGTATTTCTCTTTTATTTTTTCTTATTGTTCAAACAAAAGTAATTTTTTTTACCCAGACCAACACTCATATGCCAGTTATCAACAGTGAGGTTTCTTCCTGTGTTGAAAATAGGTGCGACAAGTCTCATAACAACTTTAACCGCATTGTTTTCCAGTTTGTAGGGATCTTCAGGTTGCATCCCTGTATATATTTCTAAATTCCAGGTATAAAAGGTCAGTGATTGAACTAGAGCAAACATTTTAATACTGTACTTTACAGGCTTACTGGGAATATATTGTCTAAAAGGACATCTGCTCCTAAAAGGTTCTAATTTTTCATCGACGGTGACGTACTCACCAAGCCTGTATAACTTCTTACAGTTCAAATTTTCTCTTCATACAATCTCTAACATCATCAAATCTCAGACAATCTAACAGAAATAAAAATCTCTTATAAGACATAGTCCAGTGGAATATTTCCAGTCCTGTGCCATTAGTTGCCCAAATATCTTTCACATTAAAGTGGGAAGATTTATGTACTCCACAAAGGTAAAGAAGACCAATAAAGGCTTTTATTTCAATTAAATTAGTTTTTTTTTTTTTTTTTTTTTTTTCAGTCACTGTATCTTTGAAAATTATTCACAATCTTGTCCATGTAAACGTTCGTGCAATCAACAATGCACTCTAACATGGTATTATCGAACAGTAGTAACCAAGAGTCTGTAGGGGACAATATAGTTCTGGTATCACCAACATTTCCAGGTAATTTAGTGATAACATTATACGAAAGTGTTCTTATATTTTGTTTTAGCTTTTTATTCCATTTTGTAATCTCATCTTTTCCAGTATAAAATTTGCCTAAACTGGATGCATCAATTTCACTATCTGAGTCAAATTCTTCTTCCGATGAAGTTTCATGAGCACTAAATTGCTCTTCATCAGTACTTTCTTCATCATCATCTCCATTTATTGATTCTTCACCAGTTGATACTTCGGCAAGTAATGTTTGAAACCGTTTCACTTCATCTTTATAGCTTAAATAGTGATGCATCTTTTAAATTCTTATACAAGCGTTATTAAAAAAAAAACACGAATGCGAGAACGTGCGTTGGGTCTTTCAGGCCCAAAGGTTCAGTTCCTAGCTAAAGATGGCTTAGAGAAATATGACCTTCTAAACAATGGAAAGGGGGTGACATTGAAAGCAGGTACTGGTAGACTCAACCATTTTCACGAAAGGGGAGAGGTTTCTCAACCCACTGAATATTTGCCCAGGCTTGTAAGACCCAACATGAGTTCTCGAGGGTTAATTGTTTGAAAACAGTTTTGAATTATAATCTATACACAACAAATATTCACAACAATGAAAGTACACATTGATAAAAGCCCACATTAATAAAAGTCCACATAATCAAAAGGACACATGGTTTTTCTCATTATAAAATCTATTTATAATTGCAATTATAATAAATGGAATATTCAGATCTGAATTTTAATGTCTAAAAAAAATATGTCTGTTTTTATATTTTTCACTACTTCATTTGTTTATTTTATTAGGCAGCAGATAAAGTTTCTGCTTTCTGATTAAGTGATTAGTTACATTTAAATTTGGTATGGGTATGTGAAAATGAAAAATATCATTGTGAAATTTCTCACATCCTATTTTTAATGTTAAACTAGCAGGCAAGCCTGACATATGAGCAGGCTACAGCCAAAGCAATATTTATAAGTTCTATGCTTTGAAAAAATTAACTATTAATTTAATGTACTGCATACAGAGTTGCTAGCTGCAACTAAAGCAAAATTTATGAGTTCTATGTACACCTGAAAAGATAGTGCATAAAACATTTCCGTATGAATGAATAAATTTTTTTTTTTTTTGTTGCCAAACCAGCAAACAAAAACTTTGGACATTTCGTGTTAAAATGTATAAGTAGGACGTCATGATTTAAATTTAATGTAATTGTTGCTGCCTTTTACAGTAATTGCGGCAGACTTGGCGATCTTACAATTAAAACTGTACGTCGGCAACTAGGCGGGAAAATTGTTAGTTCGCTCGTCGGCAGACACCAAGTCGCATCGGTGTCACTGGTTGAGAACTTCGGTTCTAAGTATCACTTATATTATTGTTAAGTTTTAATAAAACTACTAAAAGACATTATCGCCTCATACAGTCCACATTTCGATACAAAAATTTTTTGGTCCATCGAGCCGGAGTTTTACGTTATCTAAACTGAGAAAATAACACACCCATGACGAATCAAACACCAGAAAATCTGACAATGCAGTCCAAAAAACATCTGTACACACAACGTGAGAAAAAGTGGACTGTCATCATGTCGATGCCTAAAATTAATGGTGTAATTATTAATTGAAACATTTTATCTAGCAACGCTGTTAAAATTGAATTGCATGGATTTTCTGATGCTTCAGAATTAGCTTATGGAGCATGCATTTATGTCAAATGTATACTGCAATCGGGTTCCAGTTCAGTGTTTCTTTTGTGCAGCAAATCAAGAGTCGCGCCGTTAAAATCAGTTTCTATCCCAAGACTTGAACTTTGTGATGCAGTGTTAGTATCACAGTTAATGAATAAGGTGTGAAAGGCACTTAAATTGAATTTAGATAAGATATATATGTGGTGTAAGTCGTCTGTAGTTCTTGCCTGGATTCGAAATTCTCCACATGTGTTAAAGACATTTGTAGCTAACCGAGTTGCCAAAATTCAGCAACTTACACAAGAGTTTCAGTGGCGATATG